TTCTACTCCCAGAATTGCTGGGAGGGAAATTCTGGGAGTTGAAGTCCACCCATCTTATAGTTGCTGAGGTTGAGGAACCCTGTGTTAGTAGGTCTGTCTGTCTGTCTGTCTGTCTTTCTTTTTCTTATTTTTTTATTAAATTTGTATGGTAACATGGTAAGAAGCCCCTTCTAGAACATACAGAAGGAAGTAAAGCATTCCTCATAATTCACCTTCCGGGATGCTCACAACACCTGGCCAATTGTGGCTATGCAGAGCCTCAGAGTTTGAAGAGGAGAGATGAAGTCATCAAGGCCAAACATCTGCTTAGGGCAGGAAGGCATATTAAAACAGATGGTTGACCAGAATCTACTTGAATGCTTCTAATGTAGGACAGTTCACAACTTCCCTTAGTCGTCGGTTCTACTGTTGACCTACTTATATTTTTAGGAAGATTTTTCTTAACATTCAAGTTGCCTTCTGTAGCTTAAGATCATTTTAAAAAATGGGTTCAGCCAGTAACCAAGTAAAGTGTGTTGTATGAGCACAGTTGAAAAGTATTATCCCTCTCCTTAATCTTCTCTTTTCAAAGCTAAACATATCCACTTCCTCAGTCTCTCCTGGGCAGCCTATTTGCCAGTTTTCTGATCCTCCCTTCTTGCTCTTCTCTGAACCTTTTTCAGTTTGTCTGAAACTTTCTTAAAATATGGTGACCTCATTTCCCTCAGATTCTCTGAGTGGCAGGATTCATATAACATGTCAAACTAGGATTGGACATCTTGAGATGGTGGAGGATAGCTTGTGGTTGAGCATGGCCCTGGAACAATGCCAATGTCTTAGCAAGTTAGGTGAACCAGGCTGTGACATTAAGCCACCATATGGGCTCAGCAGATCCTGCAAACAGAGCAACTACATTTTGTTAACCTAGGTTTAAGATTAAAGGGTTGGGTGAAACGTGATTTCAGATTTCAGACCACCTTAAGCAAAAAAGGAATCTTTAGAAACAAATTAATGTTTTAGTACTTTGCCAGAAAGGACAGTTGCAAACCTAGAAAAAGGTGTCTACCTAACCAAAAGGCTGTCATGACTGAGAGTGCTAAGACTATAATTTGGATGAGTTTAGCTGTTTCAGGACTAGAACTGAGCATCATGTGTTTTATTATTTCGCATTTCCAAAGTTTCTCAGTCTGAGTCCTTTGCTGAGATTCTATTAATGGAATGTGATTTCTTTGGCTTCTAACTTAATTACAGAAACATATGGTGACCTTGGATTTTAGGTAATACTTTTGTTTCAGTAACTCTGCTTCACAAGAGTCACAACTTATTAGTGAACCCACTGAGAAAAATGGAAAAGTTTTGCAAAAGAGCTTGCTAGAGAACTTCAGTTCAAATGGCTCCCAAACTCTCACAAATTGGCTTTCTTCTGTTTCCCAGTGAAATAATACCTCGCCTCAAAAATTTCCTGTCAACACCTACATTAAAAAATGCTTTCTTACATCCACATCCTACACTGTGTTACAGATTTTAATGTCAAATGCAGAGTGCCATGCAAAAATCTACTTATTGGTAAGGAATACGTAAATATTTGTCATTTTCCATTTCCGGCTTGAAAAGAAAAAAGACTTCAGCAGTTGGAAGGTGTAAGATTAATCATCAGATTCATGCAAAAAGAAATCCTAGCATCAGAATATTTGACCTGACGTGTACAGTACAACCAACAATAATATGTACCACACAATGTACCACAATCTTACTGCTTTTTTTGGAGGGAAGAAAACACTGCAAAGTCACTTACTAATAAAAGAAAAGTATCTCTAGAATCTCATGGAAAGGAAAGTTTCAGAGCCAGAGTTTAGCTACTGTGAAACAGCAGATATTTGCACATATGCTAAACTTCATTAGTGCTAATTTTGGTTACAATTTTTGGTGGCTTAGTGGCTTACGTGAACCCAGACTTGGTTGGTTAGTTTATGATTCAATGGTTTTTATGAATCCAGGCAATGAGTTCATTCAGGATTTGTGTTGTGGGAACCTAGTCATAGTTTAAATCACAGTCATAGGCATGGCTAAAAAAAAAAAATCCTTATTACCATCAAAGAGTAGAAATCCCAAGTATGCCTAAGTATGTAATACTCCCACAAAAGTATTAAGTGTACTCTATTTTTGGGATATTATTTCTATTTTAAGTCATGTCCTGAATTTTTTGGAAGTGCTAAACTATAACTTCATCTTGACTATCCTATTGAGGACATGGAATCAAGAAGTTAGATTGTGCCCAATTGCTATACAGGTAGTCCTCGACTTATGATCATTCGTTTAACAATCATTTGAAATTACGACAGCACTGAAAAAAGTGACTTATGACCGTCCTCACATTTACAACCATCACAGCATCCCATGGTCATGTGACCAAAATTTGGGTGCTTGGCAACTGGCATGTATTTACAATGGTTGCAGTGTCCTGGGGTCACATGATTGCCATTTGTGAGCTCCCCAGGGGGCTTCCAACAAGCAAAGTCAGTGGGGGAAGCCAGATACACCTAACAACCACAGTGATTTGCTTAACTATGGCAAAAAGGTTGTAAAAATCGGGTGTGATTCACGTAATGACTGCATCACTTAGTGATGGAAGTTCATTGTGGTCACAAGTCAAGGACTACCTGTAATTAATTTTGCTCACAATAAACTTTCCCAATTGTGAGGTTTTGTGCAACCACTGAAGTGAGTACAGACTATGGGAACGTCCTTCAGTGGGAAAGGTCTAATGCAGGCATCCATGATTTGAGATCCATTAACCCACATCTAATTCACTTGCCACAAATGATTATTCATTGCAACTTTTACAAATTTCCTGGTTCAGATGTCTTCTTCTGAGGTGGGACAGCAAGATTGGAATGAAGCATTTGGAAAACTTCAGAAAATGGCCAGTGATATGAACAGTTTGAAGGAATATGAGTTTTGGAGGGTTGGTCCAACCCAATGGCTAGCAATGTGGCAAAAATATCTTATGCTCTTGAAGAAAATTTAACCCTGGCTGGGAAAGCACCACACCTCACTAATAAAATCTATGCCAGAGGTTCAAACGTTATACCCAAATTTGGCACCATGCTCTTGTTATTCCTAATCCTTCTCCAGATTTTTACTCTTTATGCAACTTACTCATGTTAACCTTATATGAAGAAGGGAAAGATATACAGCATTAAAGCATCAACACCATGAAAACTTTAATTCTTACTGATCTGTGCTTGGAAAAAGAAAAGGGTATTTTTTCATTAAAAAAAAAAAGATGACTAAAATTCTTAGGAAGCTTTGGCAGTCATTGACACATTGCAGAAGGGATGTCATGCACCTACATGGCTGACGCAACCAACCTCACCTCTTCCATCCTTTGTACTCGTTTTTCCAGTTCTTCAATCTGGCCATATTTCTCGTGCAGCTGCACATTTAGCTGGCTGAGACTGTCAGTGCTTTGCTTTAATTTCTGCTCTTGCTCAAGTTTGCGGGCCTGCAATGAAAAAGCAAAAGCAAGGCTCTGAAGAATTTAGAAAAGATCAGCTGCCCTGCACCATTACATCATGCCATTAGCTCAAGGAAAGGTACCAAAACTGTTTGTGTGGAAACAATAGCACCTGCACTCTGAATACAACCACAGGGCAGGTTTTTGTTTGTTTGTTTGTTTGGAGAAATCCTATGGGATCTATCCAATGTGGCCTGTTCCTCATGGTGGACAACCTGAGGTCACAGAGCTGTCTGGAGTTCTCAGAACTCTCTTTGGTGATTCCTACTTGGAATCCCTTCCAACCACAACTGCTAAAAACTGAGGGTGGAATTGACTGCTACTTTGAAGAAGGAAATACACAAAACTGCAATGTTAGCACTAACTTAGGTGTGACTTTGATTTAGAAAGATGTCTATCCTCTATGACCTGGCCTAATCATCCCTTTAAAACTGCTTCAACTATGGCACTCAAACAGTTCACAGCTGGAAGACTACACAATTATAGAGTTGAGCTTGATGATAATGATGATGATGATAACGATAACGATAATGATAATGTCACCCTTAGTACAGGCGGCAAAGAACAGGGAATTACTAGGGGTTTTTTTGTGTAAGGTTTCTCCCTGAGGTAGAGACGATTTCCAGATTATATTATGGGGAGAACATTCAGAAAGGCAATCTCTGAACTGTAATTTAAAGTCCATATTTTTACTGTGGGATATTTCTGCTCATTCCCACCTCAGGATCAGACCAGATATGAAATCAATTGTCTTTCATTTTAATAATGTAAACTGCAGTGGAAGAAAAGTTTGCCACAAGGGATCAGTCTAGTCTTGAGACACTCCCCACCCACTGCTTCCAAGGATAGTATTCTGTGGAGTGAGCAATCAATAGTACTCTATGGACCTGGGAGCTGTTTCCTCCTCCTCCTCCTCCTCCTCCTCCTCCTCCTCCTCCTCCTCCGATTTTTGCCTCACATGTGCAACAGTTAAAAAAAACCCTGCACACAATCAAATACTGCACATGATGGTCCAGAGTGCAACATGGAATCTAATTTTTCCAGTTCTCCAAATATTCATCTTTTGACAAGTAGTCCATGCTAAATTTCATAAACAGGCATTATGTTGCAAAGGCTCTGGTCACTGGTGTGAGTTGTTTTTCTGTTAAAATTGGCTCAGTGGTCAGAAAACATTGCATTAAATGAAGAATGAAGAGGCTTGTACTTCAAAGCAGTTTCTGAGTGATTCACATGATCTTCCAGTGAGAGGTTGCTGTGATGAGTAAAACTGTGTCTGAAGTTTGTAACTATGGAAAAATGTCTAGCCATGGATTTTAGTGGCAAAGAGCGTTCCTAAATATAGGTAATCCTGGATCGGGATGCCCTGCGAACAGTCACTCATGCCCTTGTTATCTCCCAGATAGACTACTGCAATGCAGTAGCTACCCTTGAAGAATATCCAGAAGCTTCAGCTGGTCCAGAATGCGGCCACA